TTTTATAGTTTTAGGTCTAATACATTTAGCTCTATGATTCATTTTGGGTAAGTTTTTGTGTATGGTGTTAGATAAGAGTCTAACTTCATTGTTTTGCACATAGATATCCAGTTTTCCTTGTACCATTTGTTGAAAAAAAAAAACCTCTTCTTTCTCATATTAAATGGCCTTGGCACCTTTGTCAAAAATCATTTGACCATACATGTAAAGGTTTATTTCTGGGCTCGCTTTCATATTCCATCTTACTGCATGTTTGTCTTTATGCCAGTACCACACTGTTTTGATCACTGTGGCTTTGCAGTAAGTTATGAAATCAGGAAGTGTGAGTCCTCCAGCTTTATTCTTCTTTTTCAAGATTATTTTGGCTATTTGGGGTCCTTTGAGAATCCATAACAAATTTTAGAATGGTTTTTTTTCTATTTATGAAAAAAAAAAAAACCCTCTAGAGATTTGGATGGGAATTGTATTGAATCTGTAGATTGCTTGTATTTATGTCTTACTTAATTTCTTTCAGCAATGTCCTATAGTAGTCATTGTATACATCTTTCACCCCCTTGGGTATCTTAATTCCTAGTTATTTTGATGATTTGTCAATTGAATCATTTTCTTAATTTCCTTTTCAGATTGTTCATTGTTAATATATAGAAATGCAGGGCCGGGCACAGTGACTCAAGCCTGTAATCCAAGCACTTTGGGAGGCCGGGACGGGTGGATCACGAAGTCAAGAGATCGAGACCATCCTGGTCAATATGGTGAAACGCCATCTCTACTAAAAATACACCAAATTAGCTGGGCATGGTGGCGCGTGCCTGTAATCCCAGTTACTCGGGAGGATGAGGCAGGAGAATTGCCTGAACCCAGGAGGCGGAGGTAGCTGTGAGCTGAGATTGCGCCATTGCACTCCAGCCTGGGCAACAAGAGCGAAACTCCCATCTCAAAAAAAAAAAAAGAAATGTAACTGATATAACTTTGTATCCTGCTACTTTGCTAAATTCATTTATTAGTTCTAACACTGTTTTATGAAATCTTTAGGCTTCTCTGAATTTAAGATTGAATCATCTGTGAACAGAGATCATTTTACTTCTTCCTTTTTAGTATGAATACCTTTGATTTCTTTTTCTTGCCTAATTGTTCTAGGTAGAACTTCCAGTACTATTTTGAATAGAGGTGATGAAAGCATGCATCTTTGTCTTGTTCTTGATATTAGAGGAAAATCTTTCATCATTGTGTATGATGTTGGCTGTGGATTTTTCATATATGGCTTTTAGCATGTTGAAGCAGTCTTCTTCTAGTCCTAGTTTGTTGAGTGTTTTTATCATTAAACAATGTTAGTTTGTCAGATGCCTTTTCTGCATCAATTGAGATAATCTTATACAGGACTCTTGGTCGATAGTTGTTTCTTTCAGCACTTTGAATTTATCAGCCCACAGCCTCTGGCCTCCAAAGTTTCTGGTAAGTAAACTGCTAATGATTTTATTGAAGGTTTCTTATATGTGATGTCGCATCTCTTTTGCTGTTTCCAAGACGCTCTCTTTGGTTTTGGCTTTCAAAACTTTCATTATACCATGTCTTTAGGTGGATCTCTTTGAGTTGATCTTACCTGGAATTTGCTGAGCTTCTTGGATGTTTATATTCCTATCTTTCATCACACTTCGGAAGTCTTCAATCAGTGTTTCTTCAAATAGTTTTTTCCCTCTTCTCCTCCTGGCATTGCTGGACTTCTGAGAGAATGAACATGTTGTTCTGTGTGATGGTGTCCCACATGTCCCTTAGGCAGTGTTCACTTTTCTCCAGTCTTATTTATGTTCCTCAGACTCAGTTATTTCATGGTTCTATCTTCAGGTTCACTGATTCTCTCTTCTGTCTAATAAAATCTGCCTTTGAATTACTCTAGCCCATTTAAAAATTTTGGTTATACTAGTCAATATTACAAAAAGTTATTGTACTTTCTGGTTTCTTTTTAGGTTTTCCATATCTTTATCAATATTCCCCTTTTGTTTGTACATTTTTTTTACTCTCCACATCTTCCTTTAGTTCTTTGAGCATCTTAAGACAATTATTTTAATATCTTTGTCTAGTAGAATCTGCTATGAGGTCTTTTACTGTTGACTTTTTTTTCCCTTTCAATGAGTTTCTATTGACTTTTTTTTCCTTTGAATGTGCCATATTTTCCCTTTTCTTTGTATGCCTTGTGATTTATTTTGGTTGAAAACTAGACATATGAGTTTAATAATGTGATGACTCTAGAAACTAAGTTCTCTCCCATCCTCAGGGTTTACTTTATTTTGTTACAGTTTTGTTGTTGTTGTTTCTTTTTTTTATTGTTATATCTATCTCTGTGCCAAGGACCAGGCCGAGGTACGAACATAAAGTCTCCTCAGGTGTTTCATGCACCTACACCTTTCTCTGGGCACTTTATACATAGTCACTTTGTAATGTTCCCCATATATGTGGTTATTTGTGAATGTCCTAATCTTTAGTGGCTCCCAAAGGGGGAAGAGGGAAAAAGAGTGGGGGGTGGGAACCAGTCCTTTAAATCCCCTGGAAGTCACTTCAACTGAAGGAGAGGGACTTGCAGCAATGAGGAAAGTAGAGGAAAAACAGCCCAGGCTCTTTGTCTGCACCTGTGTGATCAGAAGCAGCAAACAGTGAGCACAGTACAGATATTCAGTATTTCCTTTTTTTCAGATTTTAATTTTTTTAGAGACAGAGTCTTGCTCTATCACCCAGGCTGGAGTGCAGAGGCATAATCACGGCTCACTGTAGCCTTGACCTCCCAGGCTCAGGTGATCCTTCTGCCTTAGCAAGGATCCACAGTTGGAACTACAGATATGTGCCTTCATGCCTGATTAATTTTTTAATTATTTGTAGAGACAGTCTCCCTGTGTTGCCCAGACTGGTCTTGAACTCATGGCCTCAAGCAATCCTCTTGCTTCAGCCTCCCCAAGTGCCAGGATTGTAGACATGAGCCACCATGTCCGGCCAACAAAATTGTTTTTGCCTTCCCTAGCTCTCACCAGCTTTGGGCAAGGTGCTCCAGGAACATGTGCACAGCTGCCTGCCGAAGGGGCTGGGGTTGGGGAATGGGTAGCTGCTACTATGCTAAGAGCCAGAATTAACTAAAATTAACCACACTTTGCCATCCAAGCCTTTCCCTAGAAGTTGCAAGCCTTCAATAGACTCCATGGTTTTAAAATGGTTACAGATTCTGCCAGTATAAGTTTTGGCTAGGTAAGGAAACAGAATCCTAGTGCCTCCTACTCTGCCTTCTTCCCAGAATACTCCCCTGGCTAATTATTTCTAAGGGAGTAATTTTTGATTGTTCATTTATATTCCATTGCTTTATTCTTGAACAGATTATATTTTACAGTTATAAGTCCAAACAGACATCTGAGCCAACTCTTTCTCTAGAAACTTGATATATTTTCTGCTTTCTTTCCCTGCTTTTTCTTTTCCACTTAGTTCTACTTCCATCCCCCATCCTACCAACTACTATCCATCAGACTCAATATGTTCCTCCCATGTTCAAATTCTTTATCTATCCAAAGCCTTACTTGATGGGTCATATAAGGAATTAAAACTTGGAAAACATTCACATTTATGGAATGCTTCACAGTTTTCAAGGTGTCTACATTATCTCATTGTATCCTCTTTTTCAGCCCAGTGTGGTTGGTAGATGAGCTAGCAGTGTTCAGATAGTTTATGTGACTTGTCCAAGATTACAGAGAGAAAGTAACAAAGCCTAAACTGAAATCCAGATCTCCTGACTCCTTATTCACTTATCTTTCCAGTTGCTCTTGTCTCTACAAATCACCAAAAGAAATTGGTTCCCAGAAATAAGGATAAATCAATGTAAAGGTATACCATCGCCTATCCCACTCTTCTACACCCATCACCACAAAAACAGACAATACTTACTGTAGGGCCTCCTATTCGCCTACTTTCTTCTGCAGAGCCTCTAAGCTTCACATTATCCAGAAGGCAATAAACTATAACTGTGGAAGTCAAAATAAAACATAGAGATGAATCTCTAACTTTAAAACATTCTATTTTGGAAGCAAGAATTGCAGTTTGGGGCATACACACCAACCAGGTGGTCTTCAGTGTGTCTGAGGAACGGAAGGTTGGGAGTTTTACTAGAAAAATGTTCTATATTGTTTTGAAGAAAAGCTCATTGGCACTAAAGAAGCATTTGGAAAGAAGGGGGAAAAAAGAAAAAAGAGAAGCATTTGGGAGCTGACAAACTCTGATTGGTGAGCGATGGCAGTAGGCAAAACTGGTCTTAGAGTCATGTTTCAGCAGCTACTAAATGGTCTTGGGGTTACAGCAGGCCATTTTAGCAGCTGAGTTTGTGAAAAATTGAATTCTTGGAGCAGGTTCTGTGCCCCAAGTCCTGGCCCCTAGACTCTGATTTAGTTGGGTATGACAAGAATGACCCAGTTTGTATGATGAGCTTTCATATAACTTTGTAAGTTCTAGTTGATCCAAGGAAAAACCAACTGAGTAAGGAGAAGAAAAGAACTGCAGGCTAATAGTTTTTGAGTCCGTGTAAATACAGCCCCTTCAATGGAAATCTGAAAATTATGAGACCAATATTTCCTCAAAAAAGGGTCCCAACAAGATTTTACTAATTGGGTGGGCTGGGCCTCAGCAATCTGCCTATCAAGAGTTTAGCTTCTCCACCAACTGCTCCTTAACTCGCCCAGAATTTCTAAAAGAAGCTGAATTAGACCCTTCTTTGGCAGGACTTGTTTTTCTAGGTTAACTCAACTAGACTGTTTTATTCTGTCTCTTGGGTCCATTCTGAATTAAATTCTCGTTAAACTCTGCCCATGGAGTATCCTCAGTGCAACCACTTTCCTTCCAATCCCTTTTAACCTCAATGTCAATGTCAATTCATTTCTAAAGAATGGGGAGAAATACAGGAAGACCAGACCACAAGATTTGTGGCACCCAGAACTGAGTTATGAAGGTACCTTTTTTTTTTTTTTGGCTGAAAGCAAAGAGATGAGATGGGAAAGCCAGCTGCTGGGAGTTCCTGGGATCTTTAAAAAATCTCACAGCAACACACCTTGCCTCTGCTACCCAAGGACAGGAAAGACGCTCTGCTCTGGCTTCTCTTCAAGGGGCTGATAGAGGGCATAGTCACTTGCACTGGTAAGTAGGAGGAAACAATTTTCTTTTCTTCTGCCACCTATAGAGATTCTGTTTTCTTCTCTAAGTGTAAGTTTTATATGAACTGAATTGCTAGAGAGTCCCTCTGTAAAATAAAGGATACCCTTTTGTTTCTTTTGTAAAACCTCTCTTGGTCTGCTTACTGCTGCCTTTCAGCTGATGAAACATTTCCTCTTTTTCACTGTGGGTCTGTAAGAATATTCCTGCCTGTGAGAGAGGGTGAAGTTTGAAATAATTTTGTAGTATGACTGGTTGTTTTCTTGTTCTCCTCTTTGAAGTTATAGACAAGTAAGCAGCAAACCTCCACTGCTGCGAGGTGAAAAAGGAAGCTCCTTGGCCTGGGCTCTTTGCAGGAAAGCATTTGAGTCTAGATGGCAACTTTAGTCTGCTTCCAGAATGAGTGAAGCTGCTGCTACTTTGGAAAGTTTAAAGAACTTGAACATTATCCTTTCTTTCTTGGGAACTTAAACAGATTTTTTTAATTCACTTTTGTGGGTCAAAGTAGTTAAGAGGAGTTCAGCCTGAAGGAAGCTTTTGCTAATTCGTGGCATCTTCTTTCTCTTTACTCTATGCCTTTTCCATTTCCTAGCAGTAAATGAATAAACAAATATATCTACATGTATATCTAAGAAAGAAGTACTCCTGAATATCAACCCTGACCCCAAAGTCACACTTTAGTGCTTCTTTAAATGTCTTCAGCAAGTTGCTTGCAGTTTCAGATTTCTAATAACTCTGACAGAGCAGTATTTAGGATTTGGGATCAGCCTGCATGTGTAGCATTTGTTCATTTCATATTTATTAGAGATGAAACAGATGACCAAAATTCCATTTATTGCAGACTTTCCTTTTCCTTTGTAAATGTTTGACTTTTCTGAATAGATACCCATTTTGACACATTTTAATGCCCATTAAAGGAAGCTCAGGTTCATGTTTTCAATTATGGGTGAGTTTGCTCTGCTTCATGATATGAAACATTTCATCCTGCTGTTTCCATTGGAGATTAGAGAGGCTAAATGGGATGGCACATTGGAGTCATTTTTGTTCTCCTTTTTAAATTTTTTTTTTTTTTTTTTTTTTTTGAGATAGAGTCTTGTTCTGTCGCCCAGGCTGGAGTGCAGTGGCGTGATCTCGGCTCACTGCAAACTTCACCTCCCAAGTTCAAGTGATTCTCCCGCCTCAGCCTTCCAAGTAGCTGGGACAACAGTACATGCCACCATGCCTGGCTAATTTTTGTGTGTTTTTTTTACTTTTTTTTTTTTTTGAGATGGAGTCTTGCTCCAACACCAGGCTGGAGTGCAGTGGTGCGATCTCAGCTCACTGCAACCTCTGCCTCCCAGGTTCAAGTGATTCCCCTGCCTCAGCCGCCCAAGTAGTTGGGATTACAGGTGTGTGCCGCCATGGCTAATTTTTTTTATTTTATTTTAGTAGGGATGGGGTTTCACCATGTTGGCCAGGATGGTCTCGATCTCCTGACCTCATGATCCACCCATCTTAGCCTCCCAAAGTGCTGGGAATACAGGCCTGAGCCACCACGCCCAGCCTAATTTTTTTATTTTTAGTAGAGATGGGATTTCGCTGTGTTGGCCAGGCTGGTCTCAAACTCCTGGCCGAATGTGATTCACCCACCTCAGCCTCCCAAAGTGCTGGATTACAGGTGTGAGCCACTGCACCTGGCCAGTCATTTTGGTTTTCTTTGGTTATGTTGGATGCCTTACTGGGACCCATTCAAGTAAAAAAAAAAAATAAAAAAAAAACCTTTCATAGATGTCTGTCTCAAAACTTTTTCTACTTTCTCCAAATAAAACTAATGTTCTATTCTCCAAATAGAACAAATTCTTAAGATTTGCTCAGCTATATCTCCTTGGTTTTGACTTAATGCTCCTCTGTAGAAAATTTCATCTCACAACAAAGCCTCTTCCCTTCCTTCTGCTATAAAGTTAGGAGCTGTCACAAACTATCAGCTCAGCTTCAGCTATGCTTAATGAGTGCTTGTGCAGAATGCACCCCAGGTAAAGGAATTCAGAAATCAAAAGACTACATGATTACTGAGAAGGAGAAAAGGCAGAGAAGTGATTTCTGGAGAGCATAAACAAAATCAATATATACCCACTAAGGTCTTTGTTGAGTAATATTAGATAAAACAGACTAAAGGGATTGATGTCAGGAGATTTAAAGCAATCATTTAGCATCACCTGTCAGCACTGTATTCCTTGTACACTGTGGGAATGAACATCTGGGAAACCTGGACTCTGACCCCTCTTTCAATGGAACAGGGAGACAGATGTCACACTGACAAGTACTGCCTGAATGAGTCTTGTCCTTTTGTCTCTTGAGAAGGAACACAGCCTCAAGCCTTCTCTCAAATTCTACTCAGGGCCCCTCAGGCAGTCTGGGCCTGCCATATGGTTCTTGGTCTCAAAGAAGAGTTCTGAAGCAGGCTGCCTACATAAGATCCAAACCACCCATCAAAATATTATTCAATTTGACATCTATTAAGCATAACAATTAGACTAGCCAATTCAGTCACAATAGTGAAATTGGTATGTGTATATAGATACAGCCCAAGAGATCAAATAATTTTAGTGTTGTTAAGAAAAAATTATTCTGATTCTTTTTTTTAAACAAGGACAATTTTAATCCTGCATTTTCCTATAGTAACATTCACTGCTGACTATCTATGGATTGAAACTGCATTTGGTAAGAACTGTGAATGTGAATAAACTTTACATGAAGTCACATGTTGATACAGGCACACAGACATCTTCCAGCACCAAAAGAATACATATGTAATGCATACCAGATAGTCTCGATGGGTAAGTCTGCTTCACTAGTAATTCTATTTAGTAAAATTCACAGTTAATGCAGAATTTAACTTTTAATTTTACATCTTTATTACATATTTTTCTAATACTTTATTTATTTGTTTATTTATTTTGTGATGGAGTTTCACTCTTGCTGCCCAGGCTGGAGTAAAATGGCACGATGTCGGCTCACCGCAACCTCCACCTCTCAGGTTCAAATAATTATCCTGCCTCAGCCTCCCAGGTAGCTGGGATTACAGGCATCCACCACCATACCCAGCTAATTTTGTATTTTTAGTAAAGATGGGGTTTCTCCATGTTGGTCAGGCTAGTCTCAAATGCCTGACCTCAGGTGATCTGTCCACCTCGGCCTCTCAAAGTGCTAGGATTACAGGCATGAGTCACTGCACCTGGACCTAATACTTTATTTTTTAAAAAACACTCATTCAATATTGTAATTTGCTTGGCAATAAATAATGGTTTCATGAGTTCTAAGTTTCTTTTTTTTCCCCAAATAAATGTAGACACATTTAATGATATTCAGAGATCAGTCATTTAAAAAATAAGCCAGCAGCCTAAGAACTAATAAAGTAAATTCCTAAACTTGATTAAGACTCTTTATCAATAATGGAACAACAAATAGTACATATGATATTGCAACATTCCCATTAAAGTTAGGAAGACAAAACATTTTGACTGTTAAACATTTTACTATACTGGAGAGATTCCGCAATATAATAATTATAAAAAATGTGAAGAATAAAAATTAGAAAAGAAGGAATAAACTATTGAAATGTGATAGTTTACATGACTAAACCTAAGATTTTAATCACTAAACTTTCTTTTATACTTTAAGTTCTGGGGTACATGTGCAGAACATACAGGTTTGTTATCGCTATACAGGTACCATGGTGGTTTGCTGCATGGTTCTAAGTTTCTTAAAAGTGTCCACAGCGATTTAAAACACCACATGTCTTCTTTCCAATTTGTATCACCTGAGTTAAAGTTTAAATTCATCTAATGCATCATTAAAACTGTCATTTTCTCTTGTGAGAAGACGTGTTTCAATTGCTATTTCCAGGACTATGTATTGAGCATAGGTGTTCATTATTTGTAATTGGTTAGCAGAATCTTACTCACATAATTTATAGCCAGAATAAGAACCTCTAGCCTCTCTGAATGGCTTTCACTCAGAACAATGATCATGATAAATGTCTAAAATATATCTGGGGTGCTCCCACCTGACATTACCAACATGTTTCCAAGTAAGCTTAGAAAATATGATTATTTAAACATATGCATAATATTTTACCACACAATCACTTCTTTGACCATTTTTCAATTGCTCATTTATAACATTTATAATTTTTTATTATAAATAATACTGTGATGAATACTTTCATACATAAGTTTTATGCAAGACTGATTATTTCTTCTAATGTTTTTTAATGTCAAAGAAGTGGTTTACTGGTTCAAACAGTGCACATTATTATTTGGTATGCTTTACCAAATAATCTCCAAAATAGCTCAAACAACTCCTACCAACAGTATGTTATTGTGCCTATAGTGTGGACTTCGCAGCAACAAAGCAAATTTAACTACAAATCTATTAGATTCTCACCCATCTCAAAACTGTCACATCAAAGAAGCAAGGAGGCATATTACCGGTGAAGAAGCCAAATTCAAATTCTTTTTTAAAAAAATCACTCAGCTTTAGATCAGTAAAGTAACAAAAATGCTCACCACAAGAAGTCTACTGGATTTTTCAAAAAATAAAGTTAAAAAGAGAGAAAGTCAGGCCAGGCGTGGTGGTTCGCAGCTGTAATCCCAACACTTTGGGAGGCCAAGACAGGTGAATCATGAGGCTAGGAGTTCAAGACCAGCCTGACCAACATGGTGAAACCCCATCTCTAAAAATACACAAAATTAGCTGGGTGTGGTGATGGGTGCCTGTAATTGCAGCTACTCAAGAGGCTGAGGCAGGAGAATTGCTTGAACCTGAGAGGCAGAGGTTGCAGTAAGCTGAGATCACACCATTGCACTATAGCCTGAGTGACAGTGTGAGACTCCATCTCAAAAAAGAAAAAAGAGAGAAAGGCAGTACCAAATGACCAAAATTTTTTATTTGACTAAATTCTGTTCATGCATGAGCATGACAGTCTCCCCTATTTATTTGACTTTTGTGATTAAAAAAAGCCTTGTACAGAATAGAGAAAATGCCAAGTATGAGGGCAGTCTACAGTTTTACTGTAGAATAAATAAAGTATATATATATATAATAGTAGGAAGTAGAAACGGTTCTGTTCAAAGCTTCATAAGTATTAGAAATAATAGTTTTAAAAACTTTCTTCAAAGCCTTCTTGCTTTTTGCTAATAACTCTTCTATGTAGCTGTTAGACATGCTTCTAGGCATGTAGTACATCCTATGTCATTGTACTTATAACCAAGATATCTGTGCTGGACATGCTCACAGGCATGTCCCAGCTCACAGCCTATGCTCTTTCCTATTTAGACTTTCCTTTTGTTCTCCATTGCATTTACCTGTTTAGAAAAGCTTTAAGTTATTAGCCAATCAGGTTTTAGTTTAGATTGTGAAGTCTAGTTCCAACCAATGGAGATCAGACACAATAGTAAAGACAACCCCAAATGCATAAAAGATAAATATGTCTGCTTTTCCTATGTTCATTGTACTCTCGTGGCAAGATGGCTGGTGAGAGTACCCTTCCTGAAGGAAGTAAAAATCGCCTTGCTGAGAGATCCTTTGTCTCAATACTAATTTTTCTTTACAGCACCAAGCATCTGTTTCCAATTATATATTTCTTAAAAGGCTTCTCTCTCCCTTTGGCCATATCAACTTTCAGTTCAGGCCATTAAATACGACAAATTTTCAAATTCAGTTCTTTTTTTTTTTTTTTTTTTTTTTGAGACAGAGTTTCTCTCTTGTTACCCAGGCTGGAGTGCAATGGCACGATCTCGGCTCACCACAACCTCCGCCTCCTGGGTTCAGGCAATTCTCCTGCCTCAAATTCAGTTCTTTACTTCTCCAAGATCTTTGATGCTATCATCATCTACCCCTGGCCATTTTTCCTGAATGACATCAATTATATCATCTGTAAAGTCTCCCTGAATGATAATTTCATCCTCCACTATTACTGAGGCACCACAGGAGAATTTTTGAGCAAAAAATCTTTGTGCTTGTTTAAGATCAATTTCAAAAGTTCCAAGGCCACACACTCCTATTTCTTCTTTGCTCTGGGAATTTTGGCTGTAGTAACCTTTTGTGGTATAGTCTTTTTTTGTTTTATTTTACTCCGTCCACCTCTCCTGTTTTTTCTTCTCTTCTTCTTCCCATACTGTTCCTTGACCCTCACTAATTCCTTGTTTGGGTGAATTTTCTACAGTAAGTTTTGCAAATTCATTTGGAAAAGTCTTCTCTGCCTATTGTCTACATTTAGCAACATCAGGCATATATTCACAGTACTCTGTTGGTAATGAACAAACTCCACAATAAAGGACTTGAAGTGGGTAATCAGCATCTAACTTGGCACTGTTCCTTGGGTCCCCTTTACAGTCAACCCTACTGGATTCAGAAATGTCAGCAGCCATTTCACAAACCCAAGTGGCCACACAGGCCCCGCTGGCTCCGTTTCCACTGCTCTCTATTGCCCAGGCTGGAGTTCAGTGTTGCAATCTCAACTCACTACAATCTCTGCTTTCCGGGTTCAAGTGATTCTCCTGCCTCTGCCCCCCGAGTAGCTGGGACTACAAAGGGGTGCCTGGAGATGGGGTTTTGCCATGTTGACCAGGCTGGTCTCCTGACCTCAAGTGACCACCTGCCTCAGCCTCCCAGAGTGCTGGGAGTGAGCCACCATGCCTGGCCCTGATTCTTGTTTAAATACTAAGGAAGACTTTATTCAAAGCTATTTCAATAAGATATTGAAAAAGGGGAGAAAGATTGTGTTCAACTCTGAATATGGCAAAGGTAACTGGGGATTTGTAGCCAGAGCTAAGTGAAGGCGTCAAGGGATGGAAAATTGCTAAGAGGAGCCATCAAGGGTAGGGAAAGTCTTCCTAAAGGCAGGCCAAGCAGGGACTTGTACTGTACATCAAAGGCAGGAGATGAGGAGCTTAATTAGTTATCAAGGTAGAGGGATTCTCACTAAACTGACACCAAGATTCTTGCTAACACTGGGCTAGGCAGGCCAAAGACAAGACTGGGAGCCAAGGCCTAGGCCTAGTTGGGAAGAGGACTCAGGGCTTAGGATTTGGGGTTCAGTCTGCATGTGTAACATTGTTTCACTTCATATTTATTAAAGTTGAAACAGACAACCAAAATTCCATCTATTGCAAACTCTCCTTTTCTTTCTTTTTTTTTTTTTTTTTGTTTTGAGACGGAGTTTCGCTCTTGTTACCCAGGCTGGAGTGCAATGGCGCGATCTCGGCTCACGGCAACCTCCGCCTCCTGGGTTCAGGCAATTCTCCTGCCTCAGCCTCCTGAGTAGCTGGGATTACAGGCACGAGCCACCATGCCCAGCTAATTTTTTGTATTTTTAGTAGAGACGGGGTTTCACCATGTTGACCAGGATTGTCTCAATCTCTTGACCTCGTGATCCACCCACCTCGGCCTCCCAAAGTGCTGGGATTACAGGCATGAGCCACCGCGCCCGGCCAGATTTAGCATCTTAACTAGCAAATGTGTGTGTGACTCATTCCAGTCCCTGACTGCTAGGGTCAGTTTACTCCCTGATGAAAGAGTTAGGGCTCTTTCCACTTTGAGAGCTTGCTTTCCAGATGTGGAGACTGATCCCTGACAGCCCCACTGGCAGCATTTGCAGGCCCCATGCCTGGGAGGAGACTTGTTAGTAGAGGAGGCAGACCTATTGATTAAGCAAACAGATCCCCCTCCCCTTAGCTGGTACGTTTTTATTTATTTCTTTTCTTTTGGTGCCAAGAACATTCAGAGAACATTTTTGGTCAGTTGGTCAACAGCTTTCACTAGTGAAGCACTGTGTGTACACAACAGAAGGAATTCTAAAACCAGGGCTTAAGAAGTGGGGTAAATACTATTTTGTGGTGGTTTTTTTTTTAATTTCTACCATCCCAAATTGGACTGGGGTAGGCCAGCAAACCAAGAAGTTTGTGGTTTTCTTCCTTTTCACTTCAAGAAAAGGTATCAACCTTCTTGTGTGGATCTGATGTTAAGCGGACCTGCGATTGGATCTTCTCCTTGTCATCCACCGCTTCAGTGGCCTTCTGCTCTGGGTTTTGGTTTCTTCTTCTTGTTAAGAAGATTAAATGTTCATAATGTGCCTAGAGCAGAGCCTGGCATATAGCGAGTACTCAATGAATAGAAGCTGTTATTACTCATGCCCCTGCCTTCAGCACTAAATAGTAGTTTGAGTTGCCCTTCAGTGGAAAGAACAATACAGTGGAAGAGGTTCAAGTCTGGACTTGTACTGATTCAAGTTTCTATTTGGGAAACCCCTTTCTCTCTTGGCCTCAGTTTCCATATCTATGGAGCCAGAACGAATGGACTAAATCAGTGTTTCTCACACATGGCTGTACATCACAATCACCTGGAAGCTTATTGAAAATATATCTCCCAGGCCGGGCATGGTGACTACTGCCTGTAATCCCAGCACTTTGGGAGGCCAAGGCGGGTGGATCACCTGAAGTCAGGAGTTTGAGACCAGCCTGACCAGCCAACATGGTGAAACCCCAACTCTACTAAAAATACAAAAAATTAGCTGGGCATGGTGGTACATGCCTATAATCCCAGCTACTCAGAAGGCTGAGTCACGAGAACCACTTGAACCTGGGAGGGAAAGGTTGCAGTGAGCTGAGATCACACCACTGCACTCTAGCCTGGGCAACACAGCAAGAGTCCCTCTCTCTCTCTTTCTCTCTCTATCCATATATATGTACTCCATCCCTGGAGATTCAGATACTTAGGGTAGGCTTTAGGGTTTATGTTTTATAAAAGCCCTCCTAAAAGAATGGATAAACAAGTGTGGTATACTCACAGTAGGACACTAATTCACAATTTAAAAACACAAACTGCTCATGCACACAACAAAATGAATACAATCTCAAAAATATTATGTTGAGCAAAAGAAGTCAGACACAAAAGACTTCATTCAGCATCACTCCATTTGTATGAAGTATAGGAAGTGGCAAAGCTGATCTGGTGGTAGGAGTCAGAATAGACGTGACATCCAAGGAGTGAAAACGGGTACTGACTAGAAAGGAGCACAGGAAACTTTCAGGAATGATAGGAATGTTCTAGACCTAAATCTCAGTGGGTAGTTACCTGGGTGTTTGTAAACATGGAAATTCACTAAGCTGGATACTTACATTTGTGCTTTGTGCATTTTATTGTATATAAATTATGTCTTAACAAAGTACTGTTAGCATGGGAAGAAAAAGCTTCCTGACAACTCTAATGGAGAGCCAAGTTTGAGCATGATCCCTAGGGTTTCCTTCAGTTCAAAGCCCTATGATTCTTTTTTGTTGTTGTTGTTTTAAATAGAAATAGGGTCTCAATATGTTGCCCAGGCTGGTCTCAAATTCCTAGGCTCAAGCGATCCTCCCTGCTTGCTCCCCAAAATGTTGGGATCACAGGGGTAAGCCGTGGCACCTGGCCTCCTATGATTCTTAGAACTCCACCTCAGCCCTACAGCAAGTCACCGTTTTGGGAGAATGGCCAATCACTTTTATCCATAAATTAGATGCTCTCTTTTACCTTTCTTGGTCAAAGACAAGATCAAAGATATTAAGAAAAGCCAGAGTCCTGAGCCTCTCCTAGCGCTTAGATATGGGATGTTGGCTGGGCGCGGTGGCTCATGCCTGTAATCCTAGCACTTTGGGAGGCCAGGGTGGGTGGATCACCTGAGGTCAGGAGTTCAAGACCAGTCTGGCCATCATGGTGAAACCCCATCTTATTTTAAAAAAAAAGATATGGGGTGTTGATGAGGGGTCTTCCAAGCCCCAATATGACAGGACAAAGGCAAAGAGAAGGATATTGAATCACCTTCAATCTGATCTGAACCTATCCTGTTGGCCCAAAGGGACCAACAAATCAGAATTTTCTGTTGTTTGTTTTATTTTCTTCTCATTCACTCTTTCACCAAATATTCATTGAGTGCCTGCATGGGCCAGGCATTGTCTTATATTGCAAAATAAATATGACAACAAGGTACCTGCCTTCATAAAGTTTAGATTCTACAAAGGAGGGAAAGCCAATATGAAGATAAATGGAGATAATTATAAATTGTGATGAGTGCTAGGAAAGAAAGAGGATAGATAAGATAGGGAGAAATTGGGGAAAGAGAGGCCGAGGAGAGAGTTAATATTTGCACAGAGAAGAAGGTTGCTAATGATCCAAAATGTGAAGAGCTGAGGGAATCAAGTTCAAGAACGGGAAAAACCTTTAGGGCTAAGGGAATGGCAGGTGTAAAGGCCTTCCTTGAGGTAGGGAAGAGCTTGGCATACTCTAGGAACAGAAAGGAGAACAATATGTCTAGAAAGTAGTGATTTAGAAGGAGAGTCTATCAGATGACATCAGAGAGCAAGACCTTGAAGGAAATTTTATTTTAAGAACAATGGGAAGCTATTAAAGGATTTAAGCCAGGAGTGATGCAATTTGAATTGTGTTTCAGAGGGGAAAAAAAATCACTCTGGCTGATCGAGGCCATCCTGGTCAACAAGGTGAAACCCCCTCTCTACTAAAAAATACAAAAATTAGCTGGGCATCGTGGTGCACGCCTGTAGTCCCAGCTACTCGGGAGGCTGAAGCAGGAGAATTGCTTGAACCCAGGAGGCGGAGGTTGCGGTGAGCCGAGATCGTGCCATTGCACTCCAGTCTGGGTAACAACAGTGAAACTCCGTCTCAAAAAAAAAAAATCACTCTGGCTGCTACATGGGGAATGGATGGAACAGGACAGGTGGAGGCAGAGATTTCAATTAAAAGATATTCAGGCCGGGCACAGTGGCTCACGCCTGCAATCCCACCACTTTGGGAGGCCGAGACGGGTGAATCACCTGATGTCAGGAGTTCGAGACCAGCCTGGCCAACATGGTGAAACTCCATCTCTACTAAAAATACAAAAAAATGAGCCAAGCATGGTGGCAGGCACCTGTAATCCCAGCTACTCAGGAGGCTGAGGCAGGAGAATTGCTTGAACCCAGGAGGCAGAGGTTTCAATGAGCCGAGATCACACCATTGCACTCCAGCCTGGGCAATAAGAGCAAAACTCCACCTCAAAAAAAAAAAAAAAAAAATAGAAAGAGACATTGAAGTTGGGCACGGTGATCCATGCCTATAATCCCAGCACTTTGGGAGGCTAAGGCAGGAGGATTACTTGAGGCCAGGAGTTCAAGGCCAGCCTGGGCAACATAGTGAGACCTCGTCTCTATGAAAAATAGACAAAATTAGCCAGGCATGGTAGTGCACGCCGATAGTCCCAGCTATTTGAGAGGCGGAATAAGTAAGAGGATCAGTTGAGGTGAGCAAAGATTGCACCACTGTGCTCCAGCCTGAATGACAGAGCAAGACTCTGTCTCAAAAAAAAAGACATTCAAGCCAGGCATAGTGGCTCAAGCCTGTAATCCCAGCTACTTGGGAGGCTGAGGCAAGATGATTGCTTGAGCCAAGGAGTTTGAGGCCAGCCTAGGTAACAGGGTATTAGGGAGACCCTCTCTCTCTAAAATATACATATATATGTATATAATGTGTGTGTATATATATATATATTTCATACATATAATTTTTATATATAGATATATAATAATTATACATTGCATATATAAAATAAGAGATATTCAGTTGTCCAGGCAACAGTGATGGTGGCTTTGCCTAGAGGAGCTGCAAGCTTTTGGTTGGTGGCTTCCAGGGGGATGCTAAGCCTCTGGCGCTGGGTTAACCAGAGACAGAGAGTTTGAAGATGTTGGTGAATTCCTCATGCTCAGTTGACTTGTCGTTCTTTCCCCACAAGTTATGCATAAGGCAGATTAAAGGGGCCCACAGAATGTTGGGCTCAGTCCCTAATGTGCCTGTCTTCAGACACATTCACAAAGAGGAAGTTTTGAGAAGTGAGCCACATTTATGACCATGCCCTTCTCCATTTATTCATCTCTTCTTCTCTGTTGGTATCCCATGTCTAGCCTCAGGAGAATCTGCCCTCCTGACACCATGCCCCAGAGTTCTCTGGACCCTTCTTTCTTTGCCTCTTCCTCTCTTCCCTTCCCCAGAACTCTGCCCCTAAATAGGAAAATAGAAAACTTACCCAGTAACACTAATTGCTACCAACCTTATGGCTGAGATCATTTGCACTATTACCCTAGTGACCCATAAGACAAGCTGTGGAAACTGGCTAATTAAGGGATAATATTTCGAGGCAGAATGTGGCTTGAATTCTGTTTTATAAATTATTCCCACTCTTCCTTTCCATAGAACTCAGACCATCAGAGAAGAAAAGCATTAACTAGAGACATTATCTTGGACCTCTGGGATCTAGGTCAACAGACAGAAGGATTTGGAACAACAAAGGATAGGACTGGCTTTCCCCTTTTTTTTTTTTTTTTTTTAATCCCCTCCCTCACCACAGAAAGAACTGGCTTTCCAAAGGAACCTCAAGAGATGACAATCCAGGGCAGTTAATCTTGCCCTTTGCAGCCCACAGCCAGAGGGCCCCCTCTTGTCTGGGAGATGACAGAGCCCAGAGATAGGCTTGAGAATAGTGGGCCTGGAGGAGGCAGGGCTTAAGCAGACTCCTGAGGGAAGGGTAGGAGTTGGAGAAGATGATGGAAGTGGCCATGGCCTTCTAAACAAGGCAAAAAGAAACCCTCATTTGTATTCTGGAAGCTACAAGGCCAGAGGTATACAACTCTCTCCTTACCTTGTTCCCTATTCCCTACCCATGGTTGTAGAGAGGCATGCTGGACATCAGACATAAGCCCATGTCTGACAACTGCTGATTCTAACTGATGCTGACTGGGCTACGGTTTCCTTCCCTGACTCCTCTCCTCATTTGAGCAAGCTGGAGCCCACTTACGAATGAGCAGAAGTAAGTCACGAACCGTGTTCTTGCAGGTGGGGTAAACCATGCATTATTCTAGTCAAAGAGAGTCATCTGGCTGGGCAGCGTAGCTCATGCCTGTAATCCCAGAACTTTGGGAGGCTGAGGCAGGTAGATCACCTGAGGTCAGGAATTTGAGACCAATCTGGCCAACATGGTAAAACCCTGTCTGTACGAAAAATATAAAAATTAGCCAGGCATGTTGGCATGTACTGTTGTCCCAACTATTCCAGAGGCTGAGGCAGGAGAATTGCTCGAACCCGGGAGGTGGAGGTTGTAGTGAGCCGAGATCATGCCACTGCACTCCAGTCTAGGGCAATAGAGCTAGGCTGTATTTTCAGAAGTCATATTTATTCTCAGAGGGCAAATCCTTGCCATAAAAGAAATATTCAGGCCAGGCACAGTGGCTCATGCTTGTAATTCCAGCCCTTTGGGAGGCCAAGGTGGGAGTGTCTCTTGAGCACAGGAGTTCAAGACCAACCTGGGCAACATAGTGAGACCTCATCTCTACTAAAAAAATTATTGGCCTGGCATGGTGGCTCACACCTTGTTAGTGGCAGGGGTGGGACCAGAACTCAGGTTTTCACATGCTGGTTCTTTCTTGACTCCCCAAACCCACTCCCACCCCTCACCCCCAATCCCCTATCTCCTCACCTCCATTGAGGTATCTGATGCCTAGGGCCCTAGTTAGACAGCTGAAGGTGGTATCTCAGCTACTTGGGAGGCTCAGGTGGGAGAACTGCTTTAGCCCAGAAGGTCAAGGCTGCAGTGAGCTATGATCTTGCCACTGCCCTCCAGCCTGGGTGACAGAGCAAGACTCTATAAAAACAGAAAGAGGCTGGGCGTGGTAGCTCACGCCTGTAATCCCAGCAGCGGAACACGAGGACAAGAGATCGAGACCATCCTGGCCAACATGGTGAAACCCCGTCTATACTAAAAATACAAAAAAATTAGCTGGGCGTGGTGGCTCATGCCTGTAGTCCCAGCTACTCAGGAGGCTGAGGCAGGAGAATTGCTTGAACCCGGGAGGCGGAGGTTGCAGTGAGCTGAGGTCACGCCACTGCACTCCAGCCTGGCGCCTGGTGACGGAGTGAGACTCTGTCTCAAACAAAACAAAACAAAACAAAAACCCAGAAAGAAAGAAATATTCAATGGCGTATGTTGTAGCCTCTCTGAATGGAATGCCACTCATTTGGAATAACAGCAAGTCAAAGTTAGAAGAGAACTTAAAAATCTAATAATTCATCAGCCTGGGCAACATGGTAAAACCCCAGCTCTACCAAAAATTCAAAAAAAAAAATTATCCAGGCATGGTGGCACATGCCTGTAGTCCCAGCTACTAGGGAGGCTGAGCTGGGAGAATTGCTTGAACCCTGAAGGCAAAGGTTGCAGTGAGCTGAGATGACACCACTCACTGCACTCCAGCCTGGGTGACAGAGCAAGACCCTGTCTCAAAAAAAAAAAAATCTAATAATTCAATTTTTTTCTCATACAGGTGAAGAAAAAGTTATCCATAGAGAGAAAGTAACTTGCCAGAAATCACATAGGGAGTTAGTGGCAGGGTTGGGACCAGAACTCAGGTTTTTACATGCTGGTTCTTTCTTTGACTCCCCAAACCCACTCACACCCCCTGCCCCCAGCGTATAGTCATATAGTCCTATCCTCTTATTTTTTTATTTTGGAGACAGAGTCTTACTCTGTCGCCCAGGCTGGAATGTAATGGCACTATCTTGGCTCACTACAACCTCCACCTCCCAGGTTTAAGCGATTCTCGTGCCTCAGCCTCCTGAGTAGCTGGGATTATAGGCACGCACTGCCAGGCTAATTTTTGTATTTTTAGTAGAGACAGGGTTTCACCATGTTGGCCAGGATGGTCTCAAACTCTTGGCCTCAAGTGATCCACCCACCTCAGCCTCCCAAATTGCTGTTCTTACAAGCATGAGTGCTGGACCCTATCCCCTAATTTTAAAACTGAGAAAGCTGAGACCTAGATGGACCTAGAGTCACACTGCCATTTAAATGACAGGTTCATCCAGGTGATTTGACTCGTGTGTCAGATTCTTCTTTTTATCCACCATGCTGAAGAGCAACTCATCTTAAGTCCTAAATAACTTAAGTCCTAAGTAACTCAATGAAGATGATGAATTTAAAAGGAGAATTGTCATCAGAGATATCACAGATCAAAGAACAGTCTTCATACTGCAGAGTGGAAGAACAGTTGAGAAACACAATTGCAGTTTCTCATTGCTGTCAGCATTACTGTCATGTAATTTTTCTTTTTTTTTTTTTTTTAGATAGAGTCTCATTCTGTCACCCAGGCTAGAGTATAGTGGCACAATCTTGGATCACTGCAACCTCTGCCCCCCGAATTCAAGCGATTCTCCTGCCCCGGCCCCCCGAGTAGTTGGGATTACTGGCATGCACCACCACGCTAGGCTAATTTTTGTATTTTTAGTAGAGACAGGGTTTCACACGTTGGTCAGGCTGGTCTTGAACTCCTAACCTCAGATGATTCACCTGCCTTGGCCTCCCAAAGTGCTGGGATTACAGGCATGAGCCACAGTGCCTGGTCTAGCATTTTTGTCCTGTATTAATAGCAGGGAGTGTATGTCCCTGATGAGTAGTAACAGCAACAAGGTCTATGCAGGTCCACAAACCTTTACCTGTAATTGCAAAATCCCAACACCCTGAAAACCATAAGGTTTTGTTCCCCCTTTGGCAACTCATTTGGCAGCAAAATCTGACCTTAGCCTGAAGACATTTAGCAACAAAATCCATCCTGAATTGATGCGAATCAATTCATAGTCTGCATTCATCCTGCTTGTTATGAAGATCCATGCCTTTTTGCTATAAGAAGCATTAATATTTTTATTATGGGGTACTCCCAGACCCCTTATATGTGATTTAATATAATATATAGATGATACTATTTTTCTAACATTCACAAAGTTCTGATTTCTAAAAAACATCTAATACAACTAAATATTATGGACCTGTATTACATTTAGAATATACGTATCCCTCCAGAATTGATGTAAGGAATATTGGTCTTTATCCCTCTCCCTATAATACCCAAATAAGATTTACTCCACTGAGACTTCACCAATCCAAGACTTGGTCCAGTTGTATAGCTCTACCAGAACTGTTTTGCGCAGGGTGGTTGGTGGAGGGAGGGAGGTGGGGGTAGGGGGTTGTTTCTTTCTTTTAAACTAACCCCTCGGATTCACTTGTTCTGAGTTAGGCTGAGGATTTGACCTGGTGAGATCTCCTGCTTACCCATTGTACAGTGACTAGTGTTTACATTAGGCCTGTGGCTGCTCTGATGGTGAAGAGAGCTTGTACCTACATTACCAAGTGTTCATAGCAAGTGATCAGTGTGGACTTAGGCTACTCCATGGATGTCCAGTTCCATGGATATTAGCTTCTGGTCATGAGCTGTCCCACTACCCCTTGGATATTGAATTGGACTGTTGATTCAGCCCCCTCATTCTCAATCCTGTTCCTGTGTCTAAGTCAATCTTCCCCAAATGCCTGCCACCTTTTTCTTTCTTCCTTTCTTTTCTTTTTTGGTATGACCACAGCTCACTGCAGCCTCAACCTCCCAGGTTCAAGCAATCCTCCCTCCTACCTCACCCTCCCAAGTGGCTGGGACCATAGGTGTGTACCATCACACCCAGCTAATTTTTTAAAAAATTTTTATAGAGATGAGGTCCCACTATGTTGCCCAGGCTGGTCTCAAACTCCTGGGCTCAAGGAATCCTCCCCCTGTGGCTTCTGAAAGTACTGGGATTACAGGTGGGAGCCACCATGTCTGGACTCCTTTTCTAACTCAGATTTTCTGGCCACTCTCACTTCTTTGCAGAAATTCCCATTATACTTTTTGACCCATGAGTATATCATTATGGTAAGGAAAATCCAAAGACAAAATAACTACACGTACAGCCTCCCAGTCAATAACATGCCTCTTATAACTTGCCTTAATTGAGCTTTTTCATTTTTGTTTTTGAGTCAGAGTCTCACTCTGTTGCCCAGGCTGGAGGGCAATGGCACAGTCACAGCTCACTATAGCCTCAACTTCCTGGGGTCAGGTGATTCCCCCACCTCAGCCACCCAAGTAGCTGGGACCACAGTCTTGTGCCACCTCTCTCAGCTAAGAGCCTTTTGTTAATCAGAGCTTCTCCCCACCACATTCCTATCCTTTACTTTCCTTGCTTTTTAAAGGAAATGAATTCCTTCCTTCCCTTCTCCCTTCCTTTCCCTTTTCCCTTCCCTTCCCTTCTCCCTTCCCTTCTCCTTCTCCCTTCCCTTCCTTTCCTTCCCTTCTCCCTTCCCTTACCTTCTCCCTTCTCTTTCCTTCTCCCTTCCCTTCTCCCTTCCCTTCTCCTTTCCTTTCTCCCTTCCCTTCTCCCTTCCCCCTTCCCTTCTCCCTTTCCTTCCCTCCCTTCCCTTCTCCTTTCCCTTCTCCCTTCCCTTACCTTCTCCCTTCCCTTCCCTTCCCCCTTCTCCCTTCTCTACTCCCTTCCCTCTTCCTTTCCCCCTTCCCTTCCCTTTTCTGACAATTTCTGTCTTTCACCCAGGCTAGGGTGAAGTGGCATGTTACCAGCTCACTGCAACCTCCTTCCCCTAGGTTCAAGCAATTCTCCTGCCTCAGCCTCTGGAGTAGGTGGATTTATAGGCACCTGCCACCATGCCTGGCTAATTTTTGCATTTTTAGTAGAAACAGGATTTCGCCATGTTGGCCAGGCTGGTCTCGAACTCTTGACCTCAGGTGATCCACCCACCTCAGCCTCCCAAAGCTCTGGGATTACAGGTGTGAGTCACCATGCTGGGCCAGGTTGAATTTATTTCTGATTTGCCTTCATAAGTAATACCCATTAAAGCTAGATTCTATTGTTTGAAAAATGGTCTTTTTAGCAACAATCAGAAGCTAAAAATTAAATTTGATATTGCTTTTGGAAGAGATCAGTGATACAGAATAAAAATTTTAAATATATATTTAATTTTATGAAACTAATATTTTATCTAGTTTATAAATATTTCATATTTGTATTCCAAGTGTTACTGTATTGAATCTTTATGAACTCTAGGGAGCATGGTATAATAATAAGTTTCAAAACATTATGATAACTATTCATGATGTAGATTTTCCCTCTGCATCCACAATCAAAGCTTACCAGTCCTAGCTCTTGTCTCATTAAGACCCAGTCCTGTACTAAAACAAATCTGAAATCTGATAAATTAATGAGAAATATTATTGGCACATTAGTCTTTTACTAAGGGTCATCAGTATCTTTACCTGAAGAAATAATTGGGCCGGGTGCAGAGGCTCACACCTGTAACCCCAGCACTTTGGGAAGCCAAGATGGGTAGATCACTTGAGGCCAGGAGTTTGAGACCAGTCTGGCCAACATGGTGAAACCTTGTCTGTACTAAAAATACCAAAATTAGGCTGGCATGTTGGCGGGCACCTGTAGTCTCAGCTACTTGGGAGGCTGAGGCAGGAGAATTGCTTGAATTTGGGAGGCAGAGATTTTAGTGAGCCAAGATCTCATCACTGCCCTGCAGCCTGGGCAACATGTTGAGAAAATATGAAAGAAAAGAAAAAAAAAAGAAAGAAAGGGAGGGAGAAAGGGAGGAGAAGGAGGAAGGGAAAGAGAGAGAGAAGGGAGGGAGGGATGGAAGGAAGAAAGGAGGGGAGGGAGGAGAGAGAGAGAGAAAGAGAGAGAAAGAAAGAGAAAAAGGGAGGAAGGGAGGGAGGGAAGGAAGGGAGGGAGGGAGGGAGGGAAGGAGGGAAGGGAGGAAGGAAGAAAGGGAAAGAGAAAGAAAAAAGGAAGGAAGGACGGGAGGAAGGAAGGCAGGGAGGAAGGAAGGAAGGAAGGAAGGAAGGAAGGAAGGAAGGAAGGAAGGAAGGAAAGAAAGAGTTAAGTGCTCCATTGGTTAATAGATATCAATAGAGAAAACACAATGTTCTTGTTCCAATCAGTCATGATTCTTACAATCTAGACAGGGGTTGGCAAACTTTTTCTGTAAAAGCCCAGATAGTAAATATTTTATGCTTTGTGGACCACATAGGGTCTCCGTTGGACATTTTTTTTTTTTTTTAGTAGAATCATTTAAAAATGTAATGAAATGTGAGAAGAGCAAATGAGCACTGTAGTCACTAAGGGCTTTGATGACCATTAACAAAAGATAAGTAAATTAATGTTTGTATAGTAAGCTAGGCACTACGATCAGTGGGAAAGGACAAGCATCACATGGGGACCAGGAAGTAGCCAAGTTTGGCTGGAATTTATTACTTTCTGTGAGAAAATATACACTAGAGAGTTCTCCTTATATACACCATAGCATCCTCCTTCTAGGATGTTAGCGTCTCAATGACAGGGCTCTCCACCATCCTTTCCAGCTATATATTAATATATCCTTTCCAGCCTTATATTTTTATCCTTTCCAGATTTTTTATATCTTTTATATCCTTTCCAGCTATTTATTTATATATTTTATATCATTTCCAGCTATTTTATATATTTTATATCCTTTCCAGCTTTATATTTATACATATATTGTGTGTGTGTGTGTGTGTGTGTGTGTGTGTGTGTGTGTACACAAATTAATACATACTCACTTTGGGAAACTGAGGTGGGAGGATCACTTAAGCCCAGGAGTTCAAGACCAACTTGGTAATGGAGTGAGACCTCATCTCTACAAAAAAAATTTTTTTTAATTAGCCAGGCCTGTTGGCACATGCCCGTAGTGCCAGCTACTCAGGAGGATGCAGTGGGAGGATGGCCTGAGCCTGGGATGTTGAGGCTGCAGTGGGCCAAGATCGTGCCGTTACACTCCAGCCTGAGTGACAGAGTGCAACGGCAAAACAAAGAACCACAATAACAAAAAACTATATGAGTTTGAGTTAGAAAATATGGGCCGCGTGCAGTGGCAATGGCTGGCAGATAACTTGAAGCCAGGAGTTCAAGACTAGTCTGGCCAACATGGCAAAACTCTGTCTCTACTAAAAATATATAAATTAGCCAGGCATGGTGGCACATGCCTGTAATCCCAGCTACTCAAGAGGCTGAGGCACGATAATCGCTTGAACCTAGGAGGCAGAGGTTGCAGTGAGCAGAGATCAAACCATTGCACTCCAGCCTGGCTGACAGAGCAAGACTCTGTCTCAAAAATTAAAAAAAAAGAATTAGAATATATAAAATGCTTAGCCTCACCAACATGGTAAAACCCCATCTCTACCAAAAAATACAAAACATAGCCAGGCATAGTGGTGAGCACCTGCAATCCCAGCTACTGAGAAGGCTGAGGCAGGAGAATTGCTCGGACCCAGGAGGCGGAGATTGCAGTGAGACGAGATCATGCCATTGTATTCCCACCTGGGTGACAGGAGTGAGACTCCATCGAAAAAACAAAAATAAATCCAGCTAGCAAATAAATAAATAATACATAAATCCAGTTGGCCTATGTTGACAGGTCTATCCTCCTGACACAAACTATACTTGTTCTCTCTGGGTTCGGGAATCTAGGGTATGAGCCAACATATATGCTTTTCTGAAAGAGCCATTTTTCTCACTTTCTCACTGAGCCTTAATTTATCATCCTTATTCTGTGCACCTTAGTAAAATCTCTGCTACTGGGGGCCTTTCAACAACTTTGCCCAGGCCTGGGGTCTCCTGGGGCCACAAACATTAGAAAAATGGAAGCAGCCAACACACCATCCTCTGGACAGCAGAGACCAGTGCAATGCATTCCTTTTCTCTTTGCTCCAATCTCCTTTTATTCCCCGTCCTTCTCTCTTCCTCTCCCCATCTCTCTTCTCTCTTCTTCCCTCATCAATTCCCCTTCCCCATCCTAAACCTTGCTAGTCCTCCAGCTCTACCAGGACACTTGCCTAACAGGGTCAGAACACCAGCCCAAAGCAGCACAAAGAAAGCAGGAAGGCCTCTTACCACTACTCCTGACCCACCCACCTGACCACTTTCTCTGTCCCACTCAGGCCTCCTGGGATGGATGTCACCCGCCTGCTCCTGGCCACCCTGCTGGTCTTCCTCTGCTTCTTCGCTGCCTACAGCCACCTGCCACCTGAGGAGAAGCTCCGAGATGACAGAAGCCTGAGAAGCAACTCCTCTGTGAACCTACTGGATTTACCTTCTGTCTCTATTGTGGGTAAGTCACCTAACCTCTGGGCTCTGGCCCAGGAGAGGGGCTGCAGGAGATCAAGCATGCTCCCCGGGGTGCTACCAGGATCCATTGCCATGGTCACGGCTCCTTCTTGCTCATTCCATTAAATAAGCCTGGGAGAAGGTGTCCCTTGACTCATTTGGTTTGGAAAAGGTCTGCATGTCACTAATCTAATATACAGCTTAGCATGGCAGAGGCTCTGAAAGGCCTGGAGTTAAGACATTTGGTGAACTTTGTTTAACTTAGCATTTCTGAAACTTAATGAATCACAGAACTCCCATCAACAGTAACAAACTTTAGGACATGCTTCAGAATATACACAAGTCTGGGACGGACCAGTCCTGCCATGTCAGGGTTGAAAATGATGGCCCAGGGGAAAATATGAGGGGCATCAGAGCCTGGTATTGGAGATCTGGTTTGGCTTCACCTGATAATAATCATAGACATACTGTGTGGTAGGCACTGTGAGGTGAGTACATTATTCATATTTCACAGATGAGGAACTTGAGACTTAGGAGAGTTAAGTAACTAGCATGGATCACAGTTTTCAACTGGCAAAGCCAGAATTCAAAATCAGGTGCTTAATTCTAGAACCTAAGCCTAAACTCAACACTAATATCCCTTACTATCTTGCCTTATGCTAGGAAAAGAGGATTTTTGGGGCTGGGTGAAGTGGCTCACGCCTGTAATCCCAGCACTTTGGGGACCTGAGGCATGAGCATTGTTTGAGCCTAGGAGTTCAAGACCAGCCTAAGCGACATAGGGAGACCCCATCTCTACAGAAAAATTTAAAAACTAGTAAGGCATGATGGTATGCACCTATAATCCCAGCACTTTGGTAGGCTAAGGCAGGCAGATCTCTTGAGCTCAGGTGTTCAAGACCAGCCTGGTCAACAGAATGAAACCCCATCTCTACTAAAAATATAAAAATTAACCAGGCATGGTGGCATGCATCTGTAGCCCCAGCTACTTGGGAGGCTGAGGCGGGAGGATCATTTGAGTCCAGGAGTTTGAGCCTACAGTGAGCCGTGATTGTGCCACTGTTCTCCAGCCTGGGTGACAGAGTAACACCTTGTCTCAAAAACAAACAAACAAAAACTAGCCAGAAATGGTACACGCCTATGGTTCTAGCTATTTGGGAGGCTGAGGCAGGAGGATTGCCTGAGCTCAGGAGATCGAGGATGCAGAGAGCTGTGATCACACTACTGCACTCCAGCCTGGGTGACAGAGAGACCCCGTCTCAAAAAAGAACTGTTTTAATAGATAAATAGTCAACCAGGCATCATGGCTCATGCCTGTAGTCCCAGCACTTTGGGAGGCCAAGGCGGGCAGATCACCTGAGGTCAAGTGTTTCAGACCAGCCTAGCCAACATGGCAAAACCCCGTCTCTACTAAAAATACAAAAATTATCTGGGCATGGTGGTACACACCTGTAATCCCAGCTTCTCAGGAGGCTGAGACAGGAGAGTGACTTGAACCCAGGAGGCGGAGGTTGCAGCAGTGAGCTGAGATCGCACCACTGCACTCTAGCCTGGGCGACAGAGTGAGACTTTGTCTCAAAATTTAAAAAAAAAAAAAGAAGAAAGAAAGAAAAGAGGATATTCTACACGTAAAGATAGGGAAGTGAAGAAACAACATTCGTACAAACAGACTTCATTTATCCTCAAGACAGTACTGCAATTCAGCTATTACAGAACCTTTTTTGCAGATGATAAAAACTGACTCTCAAGGAGGATACGTAAGGTAACCACAGCCACACAGTCATTATATTGGGAGAGTCAGGACTCAAATAAGGTCTGCCTGGCACCAAAGCTGTGAGGAATGGAAAACAGAAAACACAGGTGCATCTGTGTGCAAGTCAGGGGTCCATTTTCTGTGTATCACAATGTTCCTGCTCCTGCCACAACGGAGATGAAGAAAGGGGCACCTGGGGTGGCTGTGAGTGGCCCAAGCTCACCTAGGTCAAGGGACCAGGCCCCACATGAGTGCCACAGGCAGATCCCAGTGCCTGCTTGGATTTCCTGTTTGCCTTCCCTCAGGGGACACGTTGCTATCAGTGCCTGGCTCCAAGTCAGCAGCCGGGCTAACAAGAACCTACTTGCTTAAGTCTCACAGTGTGACTCATCTGGCCCGCTTCTCTTCCTCTCCCCTACCTTGCGACTTCCTAAGCCCCCCGTGCCCCTCTCACTTCACTGCAGCTCAATGTCCCCAGAAACATCTCTCTTTGCTCCTTCTCTCTTTGAAGCATTGAACAAGAAATCCAAGAAGATCAGCAGGAAAGAAGCAGAAAAGAAGAGATCTTCTAAGGTAAGGACAGGGAAGTTCTGGGAGTTCTCGTTGTTGGGGTGAGACTGGACTTAAAGGAGGAGGACCCCCAAGCTCTGGCTAAGAACTAGATAAAAGATTTTTCAGACCTATATTAACAGAAGAAACTGAAAGCTGTTAAAGACTTCCTGACTTGAGCTCTGAGCCAGACCAGCACAGAAGCCCAGGCAGCTGAAGTCCACTGAGGAAAACAGATTACCTGCTGAAAAGCAGTTTCCTCTACTGGTTAGCCTCTGCCTGAAATTTCACCATCACTCGTCCTTTTGGATGAATGTGGTGTTTCCCAAACTTCAGTCATTTCCGAACCAAATTTACAACTTTGCCATATCTGAGTTTCACCTATGTATTTAATATATTTATTTAAAATTAAAACTTAGGCTGGGAGTGGTGGCTCAGGCCTGTAATCCCAGCACTTTGGGAGGGCAAGGTGAGCAGATCACCTGAGGTCAGGAATTTGAGACCAGCCTGGCCAACATAGTGAAACCCCGTCTTTACTAAAAATACAAAAATTAGCCTGGCGTGATGGCACATGCCTGTAATCCTAGCTTCCCAGGAGGCTGAGGCAGGAGAATCACTGGAACCCGGGAAGTGGTGGTTACAGTGAGCCAAGATGGCACCACTACACTCCAGCCTAGGCAAGAGAGCAAGACTCTGTCCAAAAAATGATGCAGATTAGCAAGTGTTAGAAAAGCACTAAGGACATGTTAGTACCAAATTGATCATTTCAAGTTGAAAAAGATTAAAAAAATAATCCTTTCTCACTGTATAATTGAGGGTCATTTAACATTCACGTACCTTTAAAATCATACCACCATTAACACAGGTTCCCACTTTGGGAAATACCAGACTGAGGCACTGTTGAAATGCATACCTTATCCCTGTCTTAGTGTGCCTCTATTTATCTATCAACTGTAACCAGAGCAAGGAGCACTGGATTAGGTATTAGGAGGTAGGATCTAGCACTGTGTGGTCTTGAGAGAGTCCCTGCTCCTCTCTAGGCGTATTTGTGGCTGTAAAGTGAACAAGCAAGATGAGATTATTGACAGATAACAATATATAACTGACAAATATATTTATATGCTAAGCACTGGGAAAATAGCAGTGAATAAGAAAGATGTATCCTATCCCTGTTCTCATGGAGTTTACATTCTTGTGGAGAAAACATGTGAGCAGCAAGTAAATCAGTACATAGGTAAATAAATTCAGATGATAAAGAGTGAGAAGAAATTACAGCATGGTAATGAAAGTGAAGGGAAGAGGCCTCGGGAAGGCCTCTCTAAGGAAGCAACATTTCAAGAGACTGAAAAACTCAGGAACCTAGAACAGCAGTGTCCAACAGAAATACAACGTGAGGCCAGGCGTGGTGGCTCACGCCTGTAATCCTAGCACTTTGGGAGGCTGAGGTGGGTGGCTCACCTGAGGCCAGGAGTTCAAAACCATGGCTGTCATGGTGAAACCCCATCTTAAAAAAAAAAAAACAATGTGAGGCTAGGCATGGTGGCTTATGGCTGTAAACCCTGTCTCTCCTAAAAATACAAAAATTAGCCAGGCGTGGTAGTGCATGCCTGTAATCCCAGCTACTTAGAAGGCTGAAGCAGGAGAATCGCTTGAACCCAGAAGCCAGAGGTTGCAGTGAGCCGAGATCATGCCATTGTATTCCAGCCTGGGAGACAAGAATGAAACTCTGTCTGAAAAAAGAACTACAGTGTGAGTGACTTAATTTTAAATTTGCTGATAGCCACATTTTTAAAAAGTAAAAAAAAAAAAAAAAAAATCAATTAATTGCAATATTTTATTAAATCCAGTATATTCAAAATATTAACTTTTCAATGTTATTAATTTTAAAAGTTATTGAAATAATTTATTCTTTTTGTTGTGCTAAATCTTTGAAGTCTGGTGCATAGTTTACAATATCACATCTCATTCCAATGCTCAATTTTCAATAGCATGAAATGTAGTCCTAACGAAAAAGTTGTGTTTAGGGAGAAAAAATATTTTTATACTGCTTCAGCTTACATTTTAAATTTAAATTAATTAAAATTAGAGAATTCAGTTTCTAGGTTGCACAAGACACATTTCACATATTCAGTAGTCACATATGACCAACCAACCAGTGGCTACATGTATCGACGGTACAGAGACCAGTGGCTGTTTCCTTCCCAGGAAAGGAAGCAGCAAGCTATGGCAGCAGTGTCCAAGACAGCTCCTGCTGAGTCCTACAGCAGGAACTCATCTGCTGCATTCCATGCAGAGAAGGCAGGACACTGGGGCAGTGAAGTTAAGATGGGTCAGAGAGGAAGGCAAGGGCCAAATGTCAAAAGTCAAAAGAAAGTTTGTTTCATCTTAAATTCAAAGAGAAACCATTTAGGCTGGGCATGGTGGCTCATGCCTGTGATCCCAGCGCTTTGGGAGGCTGAAGAGGGTAGATCACGAGGTCAGGAGATCGAGGCCATCCTGTCTAACATGGTGAAACCCCCTCTCTACTAAAAATATATAAAAAAAAAAAAAATTAGCAGGCTGAGGCAGGAGAGTCGCTTGAACCCGGGAGGCAGAGACTGCAGTGAGCAGAAATCATGCCACTGCACTCCAGCCTGGGTGACAGGGCGAGACTCCGACTCAAAAAAAGAAAATTAGAAACTATGCAGTGGCTTTAAGCCAGGGTGGTATGTGATCACAGGTCTTCCAAGAGGTCCCTTTAGTGCTGGTGAATGGACCCTAAGGGAGCCAGAGCAATAGAGGGGAGAAGACAGCGGCCTGGCCCACAGTAGCAGCGATGGAAGTGCAAACGTGGGTGGACTTCGGATCTGTTGTGAAGAAGAACTCACAGATATTGCAGATAGGCTGGAAGGGAGAAGTCATAGATGATATTATACAACTAGGGAGAGAGCCGGGCGCCATGGCTCACGCCTGTAATCCCAGCACTTTGGGAGGCCAAGTGTTGGAAACGGAAGCTCAGTGCCACAAAGCAAAATTAGCACTGAGACGAAGATCTTTCAGCAATGCAATTTTTACTTCCTAGACTGCAGGAAAGGGTACTCTCACTAGCCATCTTACCACGAGAGTACAATGAACAAAGGAAAACACACAAAGTTATCTTTTACGCATTTGGGGTCGTCCTTACTGCTGTTTCTGATGTCTGTTGGCTGGAGCCAGACCTCACAATCTAAACTAAAACCCAATTGGCTAACAACTTTAAACTTTCCTTTTTTTTTTAGAGAGAGAGAGTTTCACTCTTGTTGCCCAGGCTAGAGTGAAATGGCATGATCTCAGATCACCGCAACCTCCGTCTCCTGGGTTCAAGCAATTCACCTGCCTCAGCCTCCCAAGTAGCTGGGATTACAGGCATGTGCCACCACACCCAGCTAATTTTTTGAATTTTTAGTTGAGACAGGGTTTCTCCATGTTGGTCAGGCTGGTCTCAAACTCCCGACCTCAGGTGATCCAGCGGCCTTGGCTTCCCAAAGTGCTGGGATTACAGGCATGAGCCACCACTCCCAGCCACAACTTAAAACTTATCTAAACAGGTAAAAGTAATAGCTGGTACATGCCTGTAAGCATGTCCAGCACAGATATCTTGGTTAAAGTACAAGGACATAGAATATACTATGTGCCTGTAAGCATGGCATGTTTAACAGCTACATAGGATAGGGCTTAACTAAGTTATTAGCATACTTACTCTTTAACAAGAAAAGATGCTTTAAAAAGGAACTTTTCTACTTCCCACACCGAGGCAGGCAGATCACTTGAGCCCAGAAGTTTGAGCCAGCCTGGGCAACATAGTGAGACCTCCATCTACAAAAAATGGAAAATAAAATTAGCCAGGGTGGTGGCTTGCACCTGTGGTTCCAGCTACTTGGGAGGCTTAAGTAGAAGAATCGCCTGAGCCCAGGAGGTCAAGGTTGCAGTGAGCCGAGATCGCGCCACTGCACTCCAGCCTGGGCAACAGAATGAAACCCTGTCTAAAAACAAAACGAAAACTAGGGAGAAGAGGGCCAGGGCCAGGCAAGAGCCAGGTAAGTCTAGATGGGGACAGAGGTAAGGGAATCTGACTGGGGAGCTGGCAGGGACCCTGCTTGAGTTGAGCAGGCGGTGGACAAGCAGGCAGAGAAATCTCTGGGACGGGACCTCCGTAGCTCGAGGAACTCCCAGGCAGAGGTGAGGACACAAGGGGCGGGCGTGGCAGGCTCGTAAAGCCCCGGCGTTTCCCACGCAGAAGGAGGCTTCGAAGCAGAAAGTGGCGCGGCCCCGGACCCCGCTATCCGTGCCCTGCGTGTCCACCCGCGGCAGCTGCAAGCCGCCAGCGCCCGCCTGCTGCCACCCGTGCGCCTCCTGCCAGTGCCGCTTCTTCCGCAGCGCCTGCTCCTGCCGCGTACTCAACGTCAACTGCTGAGCGCGCCCCTTCCCGGCCGCGGGCGGGTAGGGCTTCGGGGACTTGGGGCGCTTCTCGGGTGGGTGATCCCTAACGGGACGGCTTCCAAGGGCTGGGTGCGGGCGGAGCTTCCAGGGGGTGGGACTTAAGGGAGACGTGGCTTGGGCTAAAGTCGAAATACAATATATGTCGGCTGCTCGAAGGTGTGCGGCCGTTTCTGTGAAGGTCCCGAAAGCTCTCCATGCCTTCGCCACGGAGTCCCGCGGACTGCTCACTCGCTTCTCTCCTGGGGCCCAGGGAAGTCGGTGGTCCCACCCCCACAGCTGCTCTACCAGTCACCGCTTCTCCGAGCTGGGCGTTGGGAACGAGGCTACCCCTACCTTTAAACCTGAGAACACCTGAGGCTGCCTCCAAAACTAGGGAATTCAGATCAGCCAGGCAGAAAGGAGCCACAAAGGAACCGCCTTTCAGTCTTCCACATTTCCTCCTAGGAGCTCCCTTCTCCCCAGGGGGCAAAAAAAGGAAAGAAGGAAAGAAATCCCAGGCAGGAGGATCACTTGAGCCCAGAAGTTCAAACCAGCCTGGGCAACTAGTGAGATCCCCCACCCACCGCCCCGCCCCCCGTCTCTACAAAAAAATTTTAAAAATTAGTTGGGTGTGGTGGCGTGGGCCTGTAGTCGCAGCTACTCAGGCAACTAAGACAGGAAGATCGCTTGAGCCCTGGAATTTGAAGCTGCAGTGAGCTATGATCACACCACTGCACACCAGCCTTGGCAACAGTGAAACTGTGTGTTCAAAAGAAAGGAAATAATCATTCCTGTTCTAGTCATAAATCCAAGGAAGTGTCCTGTTGCCTCTCTGTTCTTTAACACAACAAGAAACAAACACACATACACACCCACACACAGAAAAGCTGCCAGTTGCTTGTTTTCTTTTCTGTCGTTTAGGCTCCAGTCCCACAGGGCAAGAATCTTTTGTTCCTTGTTCTACAGCTGCTGCTGAGTAAATGTCATATCGGGAACATATTGCAATCACTGCTCCTGTTTTCCAGACACTTCACCGAGCAGGCACCATTTGGCCCCCAGGGGTGAGGCCAGGATACAAAGCTAAAGACTCAGTCCATTAGTAGCAAAGCCATTTGCCTGCTGGGTCCAGACAACCATATGAAAGACCAGCCCGTTCATTCATTCAGCAAATGTGTATTGAGTACCTACTGTGTGCCAGGTGCTGTGGACATAGTGGTGAAGAAGTCCAATATGGATCCTCTCCTTAGAAAGCTTATGTATGGTCCAGTGACCCACGGCCATTGCCCTTGTTAGAGGGTAGAACCATTATTACCATATGTGGTCTACTCCCTCAGACTATGTATCAGTTTTGTTTTTTCTTTAGAGATTGGCTCTTGCTATGTTGCCCAGGCTGGTCTCAAACTTCTGGTCTCAAGCAATCCTCCTGCCTCAGCCTTCCAGAGTGCTGGGATTACAGAAATGAGTTGATGGGCCCTGCCAGTTCTTGCTTTTATTTTTTTGTTTGTTTGTTTTGAGAAGGACCCTCAGCTGGGTACCGTGGCACACACCTGTAATCCCAGCACTTTGGGAGGCCGAGGTGGGTGGATCCTGCCATCAAGAGATTGAGACCATCCTGGCCAACATGGTGAAACCCCATCTCTACCAACAATACAAAAATTAGCTGGGTGTGGTGGCACATGCCTGTAGTCCCACCTACTCAGGAGGCTGAGGCAGGAGAAACACTTGAACCGGGGAGGCAGAGGTTGCGGTGAGCTGAGATTGTGCCACTGCACTCCAACCTGGCAACAGAGTGAGACTCCATCTCAAAAAAAAAATAAGGAGTTTCACTCTGTCACTCAGGCTGGAGTGCAGTGGTGCAATCTTGTCTCACTGGAGCCTCCACCTCCCAGGCTCAAGCTATCCTCCAACCTCAGCCTCCCAAGTAGCTGGGACTCCCGGACTCAAGAGATACTCATGTGTGAGGAGCTGGGATTACAGGTATGCACCACCACAACCGGCTAATTTTTCTATTTTTAGTAGAGACAGGGTTTTGCCATGTTGGCCAAGCTGGTCTCGAACTCCTGGCCTCAAGTTATCTGTCTGCCTCTGCCTCCCAAAGTGCTGAGATTACAGGTGTGAGCCACTGCGCCCTGTCACCTTCTCCTTTTCAGAATTTCTCCTCAAGCCTAAGGTGCTAAGAGCTTTGTCCTGGGCCTCTCAAAACTCTGCTGTTCTAATGACGAGAACTGAAACTCACATTTGTGACGCAGAGTTATGGTTCAGTTGTTATGAGAATCTGGGACCGACATCTCCAACACCACTATTCATTCTATTTCTGTCTCACACACACAGGGTGAACTCTGACCTAGGAAGACTTGCCTTACCTTTGTAGCCATTGAGTCAGGATCATTTCTTCCTGAAGGGCTTAGCCTTAAACTTGTGCCCGAAGTTCTCATAGTGTGGCCTTGAACAGATGAAGAGATGCATAGGGTGAGGTATGGGAAGGGTGCAGAGTTTCCACGTCCTCCCTGGGCATGCCACCTTCTAGGAACCCCAGCATGTTTGGCTATCAGGAAGCTCTCTGAACCCTGTCCTCTTGGGTTTGTATGAAGGCTTCATTACATAGGCATGATCGATTAAACCATTGGCCATTGGATCAACTTCACCTTCAGCCTCTCTCTCCTCCGCAGAGGTTGGGGGATGGAGCTGAAAGTCCCAACCCCTAATCGTGTCTTTGCCCTTGTGGTGACCAGCATTCTGAAGCCTTTAGTCAACATCAGCAAATAAGATAGCACTTCCAAGATTCCAAGGATTTTAGGAGTTGTATGTATGCCAGGATACAGAGACGAAGATCAAATATATACCTCACTATAGCGTACTTATAAAGTCTGTAATGTGGGAGGCATTAAGGATATAGTTGCTAGAGGGGCAAAATTCACAACTGGCCACTCTAAGAGGGCTGCACTCTGGGCTTATTCCAAAGCTGCCTTCGACCCTGAAAATTCTGTGACGTAATCCAAAGCAATGGTTTTCCGAGCTTTTTATTTTAAAGAGAGGTAACTTTTCCTCAGTTGAAATCTTTTTTTTTATAATCTAGGATTCTTCCAGTGATAAGCTCAGCTGAAATCGTTTTTTTTTTATTTTTTATTTTTTGGCTGGAGTGCAATGGCATCATCCAGGTTCACTGCAACCTCCGTCTCCCAGGTTCAAGGGATTCTCTTGTCTCAGTCTCCCAAGTAGCTGGGATTACAGGCGCATGCTACCACACCCAGCTAATTTTTATATTTTTAGTAGAGTTTCATCATATTGGTCAGGCTGGTCTCAAACTCCTGACCTCAGGTGATCCACTCACCTCTGCCTCCCAAAGTGCTGGGATTACAGGCATGAGCCACTGCACCCGGCCTGCTCAGCAGAAATCTTACGGGGGAACGTCATTACATAATACACATTAAAGCAGTTTGTTTGTTTGTTCATTTGTTTGTTTGAGACAGAGTCTCGCTGTTGCCAAGCTGGAGTGCAGTGGTGCAATCTCGGCTCACTGCAACCTCCACCTCTGAGGTTCAAGTCGTTCTCCTGTCTCAGTCTCCTGAGTAGCTGGGACTACAGGTGTGCGCCACCATGCTCAGCTAATTTTTTTTGTATTTTAAATAGAGATGAGGTTTCACCATGTTGGCCAGGATGGTCTTGATTTCTTGACCTCATGATCCACTTGCCTCAGCCTCCTAAAAGTGCTGGGTTTACAGGCAGGAGCCACCGCGCCCAGCCTAAAGCAGTTTTAAATTCATGTTACAATGATGCGTACAAAAATTTGAAATAAAAAAAGTTGAAATCAGGGATTAGAGATTTATAGTTGTCCTCCAACAACAGCCTTAACAACCAGTTTGTTTTCCTCTCTTGTTTTCATTGCACAACGCTGAGAAAGGTCTAATTTACACAAGAGAAGCTTCTGCAAAAAGGTTTTGGTGACCTCTGAACAGTCTTTTATTCCACAGCAACAGCAAGAGGTTTCTTTCAGGATCTGGTCGAGGTGGCTTCTATTGTGTTAAAATTTGGTCCATAGCATATTTAAACATGCATGTTTTTATTACATCTTTTAAAAGGCTTCAGTGTTTTTAAAAGTAGAAGTTGAAGCTTATAATTCTACAGAAGCAATATACTTCAAAAACCACTGCCCTGAGGTAGAGGACCCCAGAGCCTCAGACCCCTCTTGGATTGTGGCCCACAGGCCAAGCCAATTGGCAGTCACTGGGTCTTATTTTAAATTCCTCCATCTGTTTTGTTTTTTTTTTTTGGGGGGGTGGGGGTTGTGGGTTTTTGTTTGTTTGAGACTGAGTTTTGCTTTTGTTGCCCAGGCTGGAGTGCAATGGTGCAATCTCAGCTCCCCACAACCTCCGCCTCCCGGGTTCAAGCGATTCTCCTGCCTCAGCCTCCCAAGTAGCTGGGATTGCGGACATGCACCACCACTCCCAGCTAATTTTGTATTTTTAGTAGAGATGAGGTTTCTCCACGTTGGTTAGGCTGGTCTTGAACTGGTGATCTGTGCGCCTCAGCCTCCCAAAGTGCCGGGATGACAAGTGTGAGCCACAGCGCCCATCTGGTTTTTGTTTTTGTTCTGTGAGAGAGTCTCCCTCCGTCCTCCAGGCTGGAGTGCAGTAGCATGATCTTGGCTCACTACAACCTCCACCTCCTGGTTTAAGCTCATGCTTCAGCCACTCAGGTAGCTGGCATTACAGGCGTGTGCCACTACACCTGGCGAATTTTTGTATTTTTTGTAGAGATAGTTTTTTTGCCATGTTGGCCAGGCTGGTCTCAAACTCCTGGCCTCCCAAAGTGCTGGGATAACAGGCGTGAGCCACCACAGCCAGCCCCTCCACCTGTTTGAGCAATCACAGATCTAGCATCACCACCCATTATTGGGAAATTACCCCCAGCCATACAATAGGAACTTTAGAAAGAAATTTAACTCCAAACGCCAATTCCCATGTGTGAAGAGGATGGGAGAGGCAAGAATAGAATTTAGTTTGAACTGAATTAGCCAAACC